TATATATATATATATATATATATATATTAGGTATGCTGTGTGAATGGGAACAGGTAACAAACATATAGTGGGGTTTTCTCAAATTTGACTGCAAAAGTGGGAATATATTTCATAGGGGGAAGCTAGTAAGGATTTTTAAGAAAGCAAATAGCACTTAAAATGTATGTTTTATTTAGCTTATGCAATGTGAATAGGGACATGTAACAAATATAATCTTGGTGTTACCCCAATTTGGCTGCAAAAGTGAAAAATAGACTTTAAGATCAATTAATGGACATGCGTGCTTTCATTGTATGAGCCTGCATATGCATTTAGCAGACATGCCCAGTGCCAGAGTAAAGCCGGCCCTACACCAGTAGAATTTTGTTTGAAAAAAGTTGGTTTTGGAACATTAGTTCAACTTTCTAATAGTGGATGGGGTCAAATTGACAATCAATTTGGACAGTACTGATAAAATGGGAGCGGGATGGAAAATTGTTCTTGAATGAATTAAATTCTAACAAAGAATGTAGTTTTTGTTTAGAAAACTCAATTTATTCCAATATCAAGTGTTAAAATCAAAGGAAATGTCAAACAACATTCGTCAAGTCTCACATGGCATTATTGAATGTTCTGCCAGGTTTTTCATATGAACGTTCATGCGAAAATCTACAAATGTATGGTCAGCTTTACTCTTGAAAAACAGCAGGTATCGGACACAAATTTTAGCAGACACCCCCTGTCGATTGTTTCCTAGGCAACAATATATATGCTTGGTGTGTATGCTATAGTCTAACACTGTCCATAAATACCACAGTGAACACCCTATGCTGGCAAAATTGTAAAATTCCGGCAACAATTAACTAATGACAAATGGTCACCGTTAGTCATACTGCCAACTCTTGAAATGTAGATGCAACTATTAAGCAATTGGTATTCAAGACAGCCAAAATAATAAAAATAGAGAGAGGGAGAAAGAATGAGAGAAAGAGAGAGAGAGGTGTTTGAACACTCACAAAATGGCTACATTCCGTGCTTATCGCAAGCCAGGTGAAACTATCATGCTCATCTCTGTGTAAAACAACTGACACCTTTTTTTTTACCTTTTTAGAAAGCAAAGCAGAACAAGTATTTTCAAACAGTTCTCTACCTCTATGATCTTTCTGTGAAATCTTTTGTTGTGGGGTTGATCTATTTTCCAGCCCTCAGATAAACTTATTTGCTTTCTCCAGTTTCTGAAGTGCTTAAAAAGCTGTCATTAATCAAACAGATAAATGGAAGCAGCTTATGTGCCGAAATGACGTTCCCGCACAAGATTGACACATAGTTGTATTTAGAACAGATACAAAGTAGTAAAACAGGATTTAATCTTTCACAGAGAGAAAACCGATGCCAAGTTTTGCATAATACACATCTGTGCAAGCTGTTAGCTCACACAGGTATGTGCTGCGCTCCAAGGTCAGTCCGGCCTGAGAGGGGTTAACCCAAGAAGGAGCAGGGCCAAAAAAGTGGAATTTCTGCAAAAACCCACATCTTGTGAGGCCGCTAGTCTCCAAATATTACTAACACGTATAAGAAATATTATCACTTCCCGAGGAAAGGAGGATCACTGGCAAGAAGCAACAAACTATTAAATCCATAGGTCTTCATTATATACATATAGCATCATGCAACATAAAATGACCAGAGCAGTTAAAAAACTGATTTCTGTTTTGTATTCTTGAACTCTTTGACTTTATTATTATAATGGTCTCTGTTACAAAAAAAAACATTTATTTGGAAAGATAAACTGGACAGTACTCAAACAATCACTTACAGCTTTGTTGACAGAAAAAAATAATGCCTAGGCATGTAGTCATGTGATCCCCAGTGAGGAGGAGGATACGCACCTGATCCTTCCTAAAACAAAGTATGTGGCCAATTGTCTGGTCCATGAGTCACATGGCAGGCAGAGAAAGAAGCCTGGAAGACTTTTTTCTCCAGGAGGTACATATTTTAGCCCTGCTATTTATTTTTCCACCTCAGTAAGACCGTTAGGTCTGCGTTTAATGAGAATGAATATAAAAAGAGATTAAACAACTTATCAGCCATTTTTACACCATTCCAGACAAAGTTTTATAAACATATAAAAGCAGAACACCTTTTCTGGGACTTCTAAACATATGGCATCGCAGTCATTCCCAATTCAATTTCTGTAGAAACAAATTAAAGCTGAACTCAGGACATGAACATTTTGATTTCAATATATTCCTTGATAGCCTCAAATAATATAAATCCACTTTGTGCGCACCAAATGCTTTTGTAAACTCAGTTATTACTTTGTAGAAGTAGAGATGACACCATCACTGGGCTGCATAATAGTCTGCGCAGAGAGCAGGGCTGTGGGATGGACCAAGCAAGTCCCACCCACTACAGGCTGCCTGCAGAAAACTACAGGAGGAGGCGGTACAAGACCAAATATCCTGCACATGGAGAGAGAGTAGCAGTGACCAGTCTCTATTACAGGAAGCTCCTGCACAGATCCAGCAGAAATACACAAAGGACATCACGATTAATGCACACGCCTGTCGTGTTTAGACAATTTCTGCTTATCCTGGAGTTCATCTTTAAGGTTGATGACTTACCCTTTTGCACCCAGGCTTGTGACTGGGAACTCCTGAAGACTTCTGCTTGGCAATCCAATCTTCTATGCCTTTCCGAGTCAGACAAGCATTTACTGCAAAACTGTCACCTACAGGAACAGACGGAAATGCAGTGAGTTTTCAAGGATTAAAAAAAAAAAAAAATCAGCACTCCATCTTAGGTCCTTCTAATGACATACTGTAAACATTACCTAAGACCATATCTTGTCAAAGCAATACAAGGTTCAATAAAAGCAAGAGATGCAACCGATTAAACCATCATTTGTAACAATCCCAAGGTAGAGGTGCAGTGTTGAGTGCTTCCAGTCACTGGAAGTTATTGTAATCATATTGGAAAATCTGCCTGAGACAGAAAAATTATCATTCTCTTTTGTGCAGAGAATATGGAACAAAGCCTTTATTGTGCATGCATTTGGCTCCATCATCAAACTAATCAGGAAGATGAAGGAAATGGTTCCTGAAGGTTCACTGGATATTCAAGAATGAGCATTTATTCTTCAAAATGTCACATGAAATAAGCGTTGCACCGTTTCGGGGCTTTGCAGGGTTCCTTCCTCAAGGTGATGCAGTGACCTGTATAGTCGGTGACAGTAGGTCAGTGTATCACCTTGAGGAAGGAACCTGTGAGGCCACGAAACGTTGACATTTTGAAGAACAAATTAATGTTCTTCTGTGATTTTTAATGGAGTGCTGGGGACTCTTCTTCTCTCATCATGGTATTGCCATCCACTGCTCTCCCTGCTAGCACCACCTTTCTATACCGGTCGCAACACTGCATAGACTACAGCCCACAATTATGCTATTTTTCATTGCTGAGACATCTGCCCATCTATGGCCACTTTAAGATTATGTCTATGAAGGTTCTCATTCATCCAGGTCATGGTATATCTGTAAAAAATAAGTCAAGGCAACTGGACTGGCAACAAGTCCAGTTGCCTTGACTTATTTTTTACGGATACACTTTAAGATTAGCTATATTTTGAAGGATGACTATTCAAAAGTGACAGCTGTAAAAATACCAAATCAGTATACACCGATAAACCCATTATAACTTTTTCCTGAAATAGATCATTTCCATCTAGTGAGCTAATCCTTTTTTTTTCCTACAGGGAAAAACCAAATACTCCTGAAACATGCTACGAAATCTCTGAATCCATACCAAGCTCATCCAATGCTTGGTAAACCTTATACCGCATGTAATATCACTTGCAAAAAATGTGGCCCCCTATGGCCCCAATAAGACTGGTGAAAGACAAACTGAGGTTGTGGGTGACTACAAGAGCTGCAAATCCCTGATTTAGGAACCGTGACTACAACTTCTTACTATGTTACAGTTATCTTTGGCTCATAGTAAAAGGAATGTTCCCTTTTTCTATGCAAACTAGAAGATCTTTCAGACTGACCTCAAACTTGGTATCAGTCTCACCACTAACAAATGTTTGTGATGAATATACAGTTACAAACAAATGGCAAGAACTTGTACATAACTGATAAAAATAATAAATAATATAGACTGCCGTAGACCACAGTGACCTCACAAGATCACTCCTAGAAGTCACCATGACCCAGTAAGCACTTTATTACACCGAAACTTTCATGAAGGACTACTCCGGACATGTCATCGAGGAAGAATTACTGTACACAATGCAATTAAAAATGAAATAAGAAATTTCTTTCAGTTAAGGAAACACTTTGACCATATCACTGATCTAAGACATTCCAGGGCATTAGACTAGATCACAGGATGCTTGCATTTCAAAGATCAGCTATAAGCATTGGTAAAAACCCGCTTACAGGTTCACTGACACATGAAGGGATTAGACAGGGAACAGAGTCACAGATCAAACACTCTCACACAAACACAAGTCCATCATTCAGGCGCTGTCTCTGCTACAGAAACAAAGTAAATCAGATCCCCATCTATTAAACCAAATCACAAGGCAGATCATCAGTCCATTGGCGGTTTGTTTGCAGGTCAGCAAAACCAAACAGAGCCAAATCACCAACTCCCAGCTACAACCAAAAATAGACATATCGAAAACATTTACAACAATTAAATACTTTGAGTCCTTAGTTTGGTCTTAGTAAATTGCACAAGTAAATTACACAAGTAACAACAATGAAGTCAAGAAAACATCTCTCTCTCTTATCTAAGGAACTATATGAATGCTTGCCGAAGACAAAGTTCTGCAATTATGTCACAGGTTGCTCATGTTCTCCGGCTTCTTATGATGTCCTGCTGACTCTTTGATTTCTACATCATTTACTCAATACTAATACACCCATCCTTGTGTTTTAATGACATATTTAAAAGAGTAAAAAAAAAAAAAAAGGTTTAGTAACCAGTGTAAACCAATAAGAATCCTCCATTCAACAATTATACCTAGACTGAGTTGTGAAAGCTCATTTCTGATTTGGTGCATGGGTTGAAAAATATAACTCTCTTTGCCCTTGCATTAAACAAGTCCATATGTTTTGAAGCTGGCCAAGGCAGTAAAACGTTAGGGGGCAATTTGCTTTTTAAGTTGATTTCCAGGCAATACTACAGCATGGGATCAGTTTTAAAAACAGTGAATGTGCTTGTGGCAGAGGCAGAAAAGGTGATCAGAGTTTTGAGAAAACACAAAAGTGATAATGCGCGATTCAGACTTTGTTGTTCACATGAGATGGTCTGGCCAGAGATTCTCAAAACATGAAGGTGACAAACTTTGACAACATGGTGGCAACATAAAAGTTGTAAGCAGAGCTTTACAACACACAGGGGTGACAAACTGACGCTATGTGATCAGATCCTAAAAGGCGGGACCCTCAGGAGCATAATGTGACTTGGGCTTCACAAAACACATGGCACAAGCTTTGGCCAGTCTTCAATAACACACATAAGAGCAGTCAATGTAGCCTTTGGAGAGGAGCAGCTAATGCATACTCTGCATGTGGCCAGGACTCAGTAGGACAGTTTAAGAGGGGAACTTTACAAGCTTATAATGTAACACAGAACCCTCTACAACACTGGAACGGTCTCAGAGCTGGAAACAAAAACAGGCTGAAACCGAGGATTAATTAACTTCAGGATCAAAAACATAAGTAAGGCATAAGTAATAACTTACACATTTCTTTTAAACACAGCGTAATTCTAAGAGCTGAAATCACTCTAAGCAAATACAGCCAACAACATATATAAAAAAACATGATAATAAATACTCAAACTAGTGCCATGGTGTAAACAATGCAAACACTTCAGACAAGGGACTTTATTGACTAACTTTTCTAAAACTTTTATAAGTTTGCTGTTTACAAATAACTTTACTGGCAGAGTTGTTTAGAAGATCTAGTTATACACATATGAAAAAACAATACATCTATAGATCTGCTTTCTCACAGATCGATAGATGGATCGATCAACAGATGGATTGATTGGCATAAATATCTGCTTATTTACAGATAGATAGTTCGATCGATGGATTGATCAATTGATGGATCGATCGTATTAAGATATGCTTTCTCACATATAGATCAATCAATGGATAGATCAATAGATAGATTGATCGGATAAAGAACTGCTTACTGATAGATAGATAGATAGATAGATAGATAGATAGATAGATAGATAGATAGATAGATGCTTTCTCACAGATAGATAGATGGTTGATCAACAGACGTAAAGATCTGCTTTCTCACTGATAGATGGATTGATCAGTAGATGGAACAACTAACATAACGATCCGCTTTCTCACAGACTGATCGATCAAAAGGTGGATGGATAGATCGACATATGGATCGAATGATAGACAAACACATAATGAGACATCAGTTCCATGTAAATAGATAAGTGCAGTATCCAAATTAGCTTTGATGAATGGTCTGGCATAAGAGCCATCAAGTGTTATCATGTAACAGAGCCAGGCACACTGTGATCAGGACTTTCCAGATCAATCAATACATTTCCATCAGAGATCTGACAATCTAGGACAACCCGGGACCCTGAGCTACTAGAACATAAGAAGAGAAAAGTCTAGGAGGGGGATTCCATTTCCTACCTTCAGGGCTTTCTCTGGGTTTGCAAACTGCAGCTGCCAGTCGGGAGTAACAGGATGAAGTCCAGAAAGAAAACAAACACAAAAAAAAAGGTAATTAGACGTCTTAAAAGCAAAGCGATCTACAAATACAAAGTCATATACAGTGTGCACACCACAGATCGGATCGCTCACCGTGTTTGGAGTAAAGTTTCCCCATCTCTCGGCAGGAGATCCCCAGACCCAGATCATCAGACACACATTACAATCCAGCCAATGTAAAATCCATGCGATGGTAAATCCTCCAGTGAGTGTGCATTGGATGATACCCCCCTAAATCCAGCAGCGGTGACACCCCATAGATGGAAAGAAGCCTGCGCTGTCCTAGCCGGAGCGGTGCGGCTCCCTCTACCAGACACACACACACAGCACGGAGGAGGAGCCAGGGGCTGGGAGAAGGGGGAGAGCAGACAGAAGAGAGGGGGGTGCAGGAGGAGGGGGGTGCAGGAGGAGGGTGGGGGGGAAAAAAAGTCAGAGGTGCTGGAAGGAGACACTGTGTCACTCAGACACTAAGCAGCCTAACTGATGATTGCCAGAAAGATCTTTGATGTTTCAGTAAGTCATACATAGTTCAGGTCACAAAGCTGTAGCACACCAGGATAAGGATACTTATTTCCCTAAGAGTGACTTCTTGTCAGCCCAGTCCGATGACATCTGGCCAAACTGGATAGGATAAGTCAACCTTTCTCAACCAGGGTGCCCTGGAATACTGGGGTGCCTTCTGGATTCCTCAGGGGTGCAGCAACATTTTCTGATGGGAGGACTCTGATGTGAAGGGGGGCTATGATGTAAAACGGGTAGGGGGGATTCTGATGTAAAGGGGGGCTCTGATGTGAAAGGGCTTCTGATGTAAGGGGGGCTCTGATGTGAAGGGGGAACTCTGATGTAAATGGAGGTTCTGATATGAAGGGGTGCTCTTATGTATAGGGGGCTCTGATGTAAAGGGGGCTTCTGATGTGAAGAGGGCTTCTAATGTGAAGCGGGGTTTTGATGTGAAGAGGGACTCTGATTTGAAGAGGGCTTCTGATGTAAAGGGGGGCTCTGATGTGAATAGGGGCTGTGATGTGAAGGGGGGCTCTGATGTGAATAGGGGCTGTGATGTGAAGGGAGAACGTTGATGTAAAGGGGGCTTCTGATGTAAAGGGGGCTCTGATGTAATGGGGGGCTTTGATGTGAAGGGGCTTCTGATGTATTGATGTGAAGAGGGGCTCTGATTTGAAGAGGGCTTCTGATGTAAACGGGGGCTCTGATGTGAAGAGGGGCTCCTGATGTGAAGAGGGGTTGTGATGTGAAGGGGGAACTCTGAAGTAAAGGGGGCTTCTGATGTAAAGAGGGGCTCTGATGTGAAGAAGGCTTCTGATGTAAAGAGGGGCTCTGATGTAAGGGGGGGCTCTGATGTGAAGAGGGCTTCTGATGTAAAGGGGGATCTGATGTAAAGGGGGGCTCTGATGTAATGGAGTGATCTGATGTGAAGGGGAAACTCTGATGTAAAACGGGGACTATGATGTGAAGAGTGCTCCTGATGTGACGAGGACTTCCGATGCAAGAACTGAGGCTCCTGATGTGAAAGGGAGGATTTTGATGTATGGGGGAACTATGGTGTAAAAGGGGGATTCTGATATAAAAGGGGGCTTTGATATAAAGGAGGGGGGTTTTTCTGTGTACAGGGTGCCTGATGTGAATGGGCCTTTCTATGTAAAAAGAGGGGGGTTCCGATATGAAAGGAGGACTCTGATATAAAAGGGGGGCTCCGATGTAAAGTGGGCTCCTGATGTGAAGGGGGCTCTGAGGTGAAGGGAACTCTCATGTAAAAGGTTGGATTTCAATGTGAAAGGGGGACTCTGATACAAAAAGGGGGGCTCCTGAAGTGAATGGGGGCTCCTGATGTGAAAGGGAGGATTCTGATGTATAGGGGGAAATCTGATGTAAAAAGTGGGATTATTATATGAAAGGGGGGCTCCTTACGTGAAAGGGAGGATTCTCATGTGAAGGGGGGCTACTAATGTAAAGGGGGACTCTGATGTAAAAGAGAGGATTCTGATGTGAAGGTGGCTACTGACGTAAAGGGGGACTCTGATTGGAAAGGGAGAATTCTGATGTGAATGGGGGCTCCTGATTTACATAGAAGATTTTGATGCAAAGGGAGGAACCCACTTTTTTGTGTGTTTGCATGGGAACCTCCTTACATTTTAGACTGGGGTGCCTCAAGGTTTTGCATATTTTTTAAGGGTGGCCTATGTGCAAAAAGGTTAAGGAACCCTGGGATAAGCTCACACAAGAAGGGGTTGATCCGTGTTTTTACCGCCTCCAACTGACCACCTACCATGTGATTTGGCAGCCGTTTAGGACATTGTCACGACTGTGATACTTACTCACCCAAATGCTCCGATGCCTAGCCGGATACTTCCGGTATCAGGAAGCCGGCTCCATGCTCTCTTGTCACTTGTGGCTTCCCGGCTAAACAGGGACCCGGGCAACGTGTAATGACGCACTGCCCGGCTTCCTGATTGGTCGGAAGCTGGCGAATCAGGAAGCCATGCGAAGTGTAATGACGCGGTGCCCGACTTTCTGATTGGTCGGGAAGCCAGCTTCATGCTCCCTCGTCACCTCATGATGAGGGAGCATGGAGCCGGCTTCCCGGCCAATCAGGAAGCCGGGCGCCGCGTCATTACACAGCGCCCGGCTTCCTGATTGGCCAGAAAGCCGGCTCCATGCTTTCTCGTCACCTAGTGATGAGAATCATGGGGACGGCTTCCCTGCTAATCGGGAAGCTGGGTGGCGTGTCTTTATACGCTGCCCGGCTTCCCGGCTAATCAGGTGGCGAGTCATTATATGCCGCCTGGCTTCCTGATTGCGATACCGGTACTCGGTATCGGTGAGTGCCAAAAAAAAATATATCAGTACTCGTACTCAATTCCGAAATACCGTTCTAACCCCTGTCAGTTTGTTTTCGCCACATGTGTCCCTTCATTTCCTGTTCCCTATCTTTCTGTTCTGGTGACAACTCAAAATTTGTGATTTCCTCTCACTTTCAGTGGTGACGATCACCAGGACAAAATGAGAGGGTGAATCTCCTTAGCGGTGACGCAGACAGCAATAAAATCTTGACAGATGTTCTAATTCCTTTCCACTCTATCCACCCATTAAAAAAAATATGACTCCAGTTGCACTTTCAAATAATTTCCCAGATCATAATGCTACTGAAACTGTGTACTGGCCATAGGCCTGCAAGGGTGGTCAGACATACAAGAGCAATCTGGCCTCCTTCAGACTAATCTTTCAATCGGCTGTCCTAGAAACCTTTGTACTTGATATCAGCCAGCCAGACTATTATTGGCCACAGATAAGGGCAGATCTTCATCACTGGAGCCAGGAAAGACAGAACTTTTGGTTCCCTAAGTAACACCCTCTGGCTAGAATCGCTTCTTTTACACAAAACATGTATTTATTTCCTCGGCGTACCCTGGCTTAGAATATTTTCTTCTTCCACCTATAGGCACATACCTACTGGGCTTAATGGTAACTTTAGAGCTGCCCACGGTCATAGAATTGTTGTCCAGTCTAGCTGGAGACAAAAATTGTCATGTCTATGGGTATCTCTAAGGTCTATACTCACAGATGTCTTATACTACACTCAGCATTCCCAGGTGCAAGGCTTGGACACCTCCATATATTTTGCATCTGAAGGAGCTTACAATCCAAGGTTCTTGTTACATTCATACAGTGGGGGGAATTTATCAAAACTGGAGCAAACAGAATCTGGAGCAGTTGGCCATGGCAACCAATCAGCATCTCTTTTCAGTTTGCTCAGGTTAGATTTGCAAATGAGATGGCATTCAGGTCCAGGAGCTTCAGCTGTAGTGTTATATGTATATACTGTATGAGAGAAAATTCTTGTTCAGACCCATTCGGATGCATTAAACCAAAAAACACATCTGATTGGCCAGAAAAGTCACATGTCCGATTCAGTTTAGTTTTTGAGCAAAATTCGGACAGGATCCAAAATCTGGAAACCGAAATTCGGATGCATTGGGATTCGGATATTCGGATGTGTCCGAATGTCTGAATTTTGGAAAATTCGTCCAAATTTTGATTCGGAACGAAACGAATCACACATGTGTACATCCCGCCCAGTCACTGGTTGCCCAGCTTTTAGCTCTTAGCAACCCAGTTGTTGTCCAGCTCTTAGCAACTTGAGATGCTCTGGCTGGAAAGGGGGCGGCAGGCACACTGGGGCCCTGATGATGGCATAACGTTTGCATGTGCACAAAAACATGAGACTGTATGCTGAGCTGCACATTCCTAATTCAGTGTACATTCTAATGAACTTTCATTGCAGAAGAGATTTAGTCTGTCTCTTCTGCAATCAAAAAGTCTTCCTGCTAGCAACTTTTTTTTCCAAGGTAACGTTCCACTTAAAGTTGGCCATACACTATTCGATTTTTTTCTTCCTGCCTGTGGACTGAACAAAAAAAAAAATCTAATAGATTCCTCCATCCAGGCTAAACAGGGTGGATAGATGAATCTCCTGCTATGGCTTTTGTATTTTGACAAATAGTTCAGGGAGCAGTTTGGGTGGGGGGCGGTTCGGATCGCGCGGTCGCATGAACGGTCCCCATAGCAATGTACAGGACCGTTCATGTTGGCGGATCCGCGCGGCAGAACCACCCTGGTGTGAACCGGCTCTGACTGTCATGAATCCTGTACACCCGAACTTCAGGGGCTAAACCTTATAGTTTCAGATTTAGTACAGTTCTCATAGCGGGTCACTCACTCTTCACCTGAGCCATTTACAATAATGACTTCTTTCCTTTCAGCAGAATACAAGGCGTTCTGAGATTGAACGTAGAGAGAGGCACATGTACGTCACAATCTGCACCTTCAATCAAAGAATGCCTGGTAGCAGCCGAATGCAGCAGCAGCCAGATATGAGACAATTATTAGTGGTAGCTGTCAAAGTTTTATTTTTTTTCCCCAGAGTTTAACTTTAAACTCCGCCAAACTCAGACACTTCCATCGGATTGCCAGACAGAGAAGCGTGATTCGTCACTCAAGAGAACACTTCTCCACTTCTCTAGAGTGTGTGTGCTTTACACCACTGCATTCAACGCTCTGCATTGCACTTGGTGATGTAAGGCTTGGATGCAGCTGCTCGGCCATGGAAACCCTTTCCATAATGCTCTCTACGCACTGTTGTTGTGCCAGTCTGAAGGCCTCACAAAGTTTGGAGGTCTGTAGCTATTGACTCTGCAGACAGTTGGCGACTACTACGCACTGTGTG